TTTCTTCATTTCTAGCTTCTCTTTCTTCTTTCTCTTCCTACTTGCCAGTTCACTGCCATCAAAATTCCCTATCTCCATTCTGCTAAAAATTACACCTCCATTTTCATCATAAAACACCACCAGTCTTTAACATTCACTAGGATATTGTCTGGCCATGTGTGGAGTTTTCACCCTCCCCTTCGTTTCTGTGGAAATGTCAACACTTTTCTCACCTTTCAGACTTATATTGAGCAATGTAGTAATAAGTAAATAGTATTGTTTACTATTACTGTTCAGTTTACATTTCTTGATGACTTCCTCTTTGAAGAACCTGCATAAGGACTGCAGCAATAAACTTCATTTCAGCTGTGCAATGAAAACAGGTTTGACAACATAATCTGATGAAGTCATCTCTAGTCAAAGCAAACTCCAAATTCTAGGAGCATCCAAGCTAATGAATTGGCTTGCTGGCTGCTTCCCAGGGAATGCTAGCGTGAAAGCAAGCTTTGATTTTTCAAACTGCACAAAGAGACACAGTGTCAGCTGTTTGAAGTACTGTAGGAAAATTAACAAATTGGTTAACTTCCCAGAGATTGCTGCCACTCACAGATAAACCAGCGGTCACTGCAGGGATATATGGATTTGAAGGTAGCTGTTACCACCAGTTGAACTTCCTATCCAAAGGTGGTCAGTCTATTATTGTAGGACTACATGTGATATTTGGGCTAATTTATGTGGCACTGAGCAAAAGCTCTTTGCAAACAAACAATTCTAGCCTCTGGCTAAATCAACCTATTTTATCTTGGCCCGCTGTAGAAAAAGGAGGAAAGAAAAGAGGATTCCAAAAAAGGAGAGAATGATGCTTCCACTATTTCATATTCTAGTTTCACTTTGTTTCAGCCCTACACACTTTTAACATGTAATGCAATTATAAACAAATCTATCCTCTGGGAAATCAGCCCTCAGTAGAAAAAGAGCACCCTTCAGCTCTAATCCAAGATAATAAATCTGTTTTAAGGCTCTGCTATCACTGTAGTGGTTCTGATTCAGTAATAAGCCTAATGAGATGGGACAATAATGGGTCACAAGATTCTCTGAAACACAACTTTCTCACAGTATTGATTTTTTTTTTTTTTTGGCTATAATGTTTAGCCACGGGAAAATGGCAGAACTTGAATGATTAGGATAGAGATAACAAGTTTTTAATCCTCTCATTATAAAGTCCTAACTCCCATCTCGGGAAAATGGCAGAACTTGAATGATTAGGATAGAGATAACAAGTTTTTAATCCTCTCATTATAAAGTCCTAACTCCCATCTCTATTAAATTTGGCAAAATCATGGACTTTCTGCTTCATTCTGACATAATAGCTTCATTTCCAGGAGTCTGTGGCAATAGCTCAAGAAAGAGGGAACACGGGTGACTGATGTAGAACTGGACTGGAAAGGTTCAGGACCCTGGACAGTACCCCTGGTTTTAGTGATTCTTGAATGACGTTAAGAGTTATGACTGGCAATCCTGCAAGAATCCTAAGGAAAGAGACAAATAAGCCCAAAACTATCCTGAAACAATAGCTTGGTTTTTATATTTTGGCCAGAATAATCCTCAGAACCGCAGAACTGAATTTGCTTCTTTAAAGGGCCAGCACTTTTTTTTCCTGCAGTTGCCGTGGGAACTTCCAACCCAAAAAATGTATCTGAATTCCATTTATTGCAGCTAATGACTTAATAGGATTCTCAGCCTGAGATTCCCTTAGATTTCCTAGCATTCTTAGTCTAAATCCATATCAGCTAAGGGAAGAAGATCTCTGATTTGAGCACTGAAAACTGCTAGATATGCTGGGACAGCAGCATCAGTGAGTAGCTGGAGGAAGGTCACGTTGACATGATGCTATTTCCATATTGCCAGGTTGGGGAGACACAACATTTTTATTTGTCTACTTTTTATAAAGAGTGAGTCTTTTGTCATTCACATGAGTAAAGAGCAAACTAATATTCTTTTTGTGGGTTTATTTGCAAGGTTGGAATACACCAAGGACTCTTGAGAGATGACCATGAGAATATCATCAGCTTTATAACAGTTTGTCTACTGATTTACTCTTAGAAGATACAAATGTATATCTTTGGCCAAGACTCGCCATTATTTTTTTACTTATTTGATTTTGGTGCCACCCAACTCTACACTGAGCAAACCACATTGGTTAAATTTGTATGATGTACTTACGCATGATTAATAGTGGTTTAATCAATAACCCAACTGCCTATACTAAACCACAAAACTGAATATATGAATGGAGTTCACACATTATGTTAGACTGAAAGATGGTTCCTAGTTTTTATTAGATCATTGATGTAGATGTTAAATAGATGTGAAGCCAAAATACAACCATATCTCACACCTTTTGCTGATGTTATTGGAGTGGTTAGTTGTGTGAGAGACTGTGATCAACATGCTTCCAAAATAGTGTGAACATCTCCCCATTTTATTATTTTATTATGGGTGATGTAACAATTTTCTCTTTGACCCAAGTCAGACTTAGAAGGGCCCTTATTGTACTCAATTTTGCATTGAAGAGTAGTAAACTATAAACTATCAAAAAACAAAAATACCTCCTCCCCCACACAAATATAGCTGGCTCATAGATAAGCATCCAATAGAAGAACAAGTCAACTGCTTCACCTTATACTGGTCGATTATCATAATAAAGATTTTATTTGATTCAGCTGGTTCAAGTACATAGGGGTAGTTTTTAAAGCTTCAAGGCACCAAATGGCACACATCAAATATGTAATTTATGTAATTCAGAGAAGTGTGGCAGCCATTTTAAGATTCTTCAGGAATCAGGATGGGTATTTTATACCTGCAACTACTCAATTGTTATTGTGAGGACAGTGGCGCATCTTATCTATGGTGTGTAACTGCAATCTGTAGAAACTTTCATTTCTATGGAAGAATTCAGGTGTGTTTTCTGAGAGCCATATTTTCTATGCCAAGATGTGTCTGTCCTTAAAGCTTTACCTAGACTAGACCAGACTACCCAGCATAGAAACTAGTGCTTGGTAATTAATTGCATCTTACTGGCTCAGAATTAATTTACTGTATCTTTTAGGGCCCTGCCCTTTTTAGCACAGGACATCTTCCAATGCAAATGGTGCAGAAGAGTAGCCAGACAGATGCTCCATTTGGGTATGTCTCTTACTTTCCTTTTAACTATGAGATTGGATAAAGCAAAGGAGACTACTAAGCAAAGACTAGAAGATATGGAATGTAGAATAACTTCGCTGCTGCCCCAAGGTGATACCGACTCTCTAACGAAACTGAAACCAGCACATTACTCATAAAAGTTATCCTATCCCAGATATCACTGGTTCTTCTTCAGATCATGCCCTTCCACGCCCTTCCCTCTGAAGTCATGGATGGTGGATACAGTGAGACACCCTTTTCACATGGAAGATGCACCTCTGATGAAATTAAAATTTTAGGACACGTCTTCCTGAGATGTAGATTTTATAAAGAATTGGGCTTTCAGTTGATCCAACCCTGAATAAACAGGTTACCTAGCTGTTCAGACCAATGGTATTTAAAGGTTTTCCTACAAGACAAACATCCTGAAAACACGTATAGCTAAATTATTTCCCAGAGCCATAAGGCTTTGCTGTGTTCAGACCCAATAACAGATGTAAGTGATTTACTTAATCAGTTTTTATTGTATTTAAGAATTGTATTTGGGTGTTTTAACTTTTATGATCTAGTCTTGGACTGTAACAATAAACATTTGTTAGTTGGTTGGTTTCTAGTCTGTGGTTTAGTGTGATGTGCAACCTCTGACATTATGATTTAGCATGATATAGGAACCAGACTATTGTTTTATTTGAGATATGCTTTAGGACAACTTCCTCCAACCTGGTACTGTACAGGTAAGTTGTCTATAACTCATTATACCAGATAGCACAGCTATCTTAATACAGCATGGTGAATTTCTGGTACTGGAATATGCTGCGGGAAGAAATAAAATAATACACAATGATATGTGAAAATGTGCATGTATGCATTTTGGGAATAGCACCAATAATTGGAACTAAAATTGTAAACATGAAGATAAATAAGCAGAAAAATAATGTTAAAAATGTCAGGGATATAACGGCCAAAAATTTCCCCACTCTTGTGACACAGAATACTAACACTAAGATTCCAAGTGAGTTAGAATAAGTTCCTATACAGATATTTTATTTTCTTCTGTTTTGAACATTCTTCCCACTGACAATTACTTGAAGCCATAAGGCATAACAGATAGTATTTATGTAAAATTTGAAGCATAAGATTCCATATGAGAAGGATCAAACCTGAAGATAAAGGGTATAACAGTGAAAACCAAAACAGACATTTTAATAAACAAACTCAAAGGGAAAATATTACAACATTACGCAAAAGTTACTACATCTGGGCCCAATGTTCTCAATTTTGACATTAAACAGAAGGAACAGTAAGCAACATCTTTGGTAGTTAATAGAAAGGCATTTCTGTTAGGAATTAATGCTCTATAAAGAAAAAATATAAGGTGGCGCACAATAGTTTCACTCATAAAGCTGCTTGAGACCTATTGAAGGGGAACCTTTGTGAGTAAACTTCTCCTTTTGTGAAAAGAAATCCCTTTGAGGTGAGTTGATAATACTGGATGCCAACTATAAAGTCTCATTTCAAATTGACACCTTTCATTTCTACTGGAAATGTTGACTCTTTCTTGATTTTGCACACAACTTTTCATCTGTAACAATTTCAGCAGATCAATTTTTTATATATACATGAATAGTTGTCCTGTTGCTGAAATTAGGGTTTATGGTTAGATCTTTTTCAATTTTAACATTTTAGCCATTAGTTCTTTGAAATAAAAACGGAGATGACTGCATACACTTCAGACATATTTCAAAGAATGGATTGATATAACTTCTAAACAAATACTATTCAACATAATTTGCAAGTAGGAAACAAACAGGTTTTATTATCATGGATTCTTGCAGGTATATAAATCAGTTTGGGTAAACTGTTTCACATTCTTTTTGAAACCCAGTATTGCTGTGTTGAAAAATTATAATCTAATGAAAGTAATATAACTCATACTGAATAAAGCCTTTAATACATTCCGTTTGCTGGTATTTTTTATACGTTTCTGCCTCAAAATACGCTTGTAAAAACCAACCTTTTAAATACGTGTGTATTTTGCATCGTTTGGAAAAGGCCAAGATGAATTATTTGCACAAATCAAGATTTAAAGTATGTCTAGTACATGAGATCCATTGCTCCATTTGGTGCCTCAGAATCTTTTGATTTCGAAAAAGGAAACTCAAATCCAGCCAGGCGTATAAGCAGAATGTTCATAAAGTGTACTAATGAGCACACCAGGATGATCCAGAATGATTTTGCAAACTGCTCACTGTGAGTTTTAAAAATAAAACTTCCTTCTTTATAATTAGCTATTTTCTCAGAGAGGTGGTGGATTTTCACTTCTGAAGAAAAGAGTATCAAAATAAGAAAGCCACAAGAAACTGAAAAAAAAAAAAGCAAAATTAATGTTCAGTCAGTTTTTCAACCTAATTCTGCAACATTGTTTGTTTGTTTGTTTGTTTATTAAATTTGTATGCCACCCATCTCCCCCGGAGGGTGACTCTGGGCAGCTCACAGTTAGAGTAAAACCCAAAAACAATTTAAAAAATAAATACCCACATTAATTAATTAAAAAGTCAGACTATATAAAAAAATGTTGTTGCACTTCAACATTTATAAATTAGCTCTCCTCCCTACTTTCCTCTCTAATAGGTTGGGTCCCAGTTGAATCCAACAATTAATAAGAAGAGATAATTATAACTTGCTTTTGTTCCATTTCTTCCTCATCTTATCTCTAGGTTTATCAGTTTAAAATCCACACTCAACTGAGTTTCACCTGGTCTTTGTAGCCTTCCAATGTGGCCTGATAGTTCTTTCACATCTCCTTTCTGGCTTTATTTGGTACTTTCTTATATTAAAATTAATGTTCCAATCCATGTATTAAAGGGTGAACAGGCTAACTCTAGGTATTTTCTTCTTTGTAAATTAAACAAAGCTCCCCCAAGTCTTTTTGCTTATGTGTGAAAAATAAAACATATCAGTCTGTTTGAATGGTAATATTTGTTGAGTTAATTCTTTCCCACTGCTTATAAAGCAAGTGTGCTTGTTTATAGTGCTAGCTAATTCTATTCCTCCTTGCTTGAGAGAGTCATAAATAGCTATTTCTCCAAATAGCAAACACTAGGGGGTGATGTGCCATGTATGCACCATATCTCTGTTCAAAGATTCTTCAGAAAAGTGGTGAAGATTTGTGACTCTCTAGATGCTGCTTACAAATTCCAGCAGTGCAACTTGGCCCAAAGTGTAGGATAAGCATTCTGGTTTAGCAATAAATGAAGACATACATCCCACCCCTATTCTTGCCTTAGACTGACTCGTGGCTGTACACATGTGTACCTAAGGATTTACATGCACAAGGGAATGAAAGACCTCATTTAGAAAATATTCAGAACATAGTAAGGAACAGACAGTGGTAACATCATCCACACTCAGACATAGAAGTGTGCCTGATTGTAGTGGAAGTGGGCAGCCTTCCAATCTCCATATAGAGATGTTCAAGATCCTGTACTACTAAAACTCTCTTTGTGTTTAACTATCTCTTGGTACCCTCAAGTTAGCCCAAACAGTGAATTATATTGCAATAATTTTTGAATCAAAGTACCTAAAATCTGCTAACCTAAAGAATGCACAAAAACTCCAGGACCCATTACTCCTGTGGAATTGAAATTTCCACAATGTTCAGACCAGTTTTATTTGCAAAGTTATGGCCATTGCAGTGTCCCCATGATCATGTGATCATGAGTTCTAATGGTCCCTGCCAGCTTCCCACAAGTAAAGTCAATAGGGAAGCCAGCAGGAAATCGGAAGTTGCTCCCACTTCCACTGCTTTTTTGCCCACCCATGATCATTCTATTTATCTGTTTAGGTAAGTAAATATTGATTTATTATTGAAGTTCCTTTGCCACTGCAATTATTTTTCTATTTATGCATCTATTTCTTCTTAGATGATCACAGGACTGTCCAGACTGGGGTAAAAAAATATGGTCAGCTTAAAATTTAATATTCATTCTGGTCACATCAGACTGTAGTACATCTCAAAGTATGGCCCAACGAGTCACAGGGTTGTCTAGTAATCTATATGTGCTTTCTGAAGCAGGTGCTAGAGAGTTTAAATAACGAAAATGATTTTATTTAAGCTTAGAGTTTTGAAGTTATGTATTTCAGAGCTGTTTTAAACCAGTGTTTGTTTTAAATTCAAGTTGGATTTTGCTTGCTGTTTTTTAGTTACCTCTGTGTTTTGTTTAGTTTTGTATTTTGCCAATTTTACATAGGTTATTTTATTTCTTCATTTTGTAAAATGGCTGGATATAAATATATATCTTTTAATTTAATAATATGTAACATTGTAGTGTTCTTTTTATAGCTATTTTCAATGTTTATAGCATCCCAAACTGTCAATTTCTGGCATGGCTATGGTGGGTCAGTGTTCAGGACCAGTGATTCTTAGACAGTTGCCAGAATACCACAATCCAAGCATAGTCTTTAGCTATACTTGAGTATTTTAATCCACTACCCCTGCCAAAAAAAAAAAGGAAGGAAGGAAGGAAGGAAGAAGAGAAGAGAAGAGAAGAGAAGAGAAGAGAAGAGAAGAGAAGAGAAGAGAAGAGAAGAGAAGAGAAGAGAAGAGAAGAGAAGAGAAGAAGGTCACTACTTAGGTTAGATGGGGTTGCTGAGATTGTAACCCAAGAAATGTAGAAGATACCAAATTAGATTGCATGGGATGACAACATATTGAGTAGAAATCATCAGTTTAAAAAGAAAAAAAATCAGCATGTTTGTCTTTTTTCATGTAAAAAAGTGAATAACCAGTAAAAAAAGAGTTTGTGAAACATACTTTGAATAACTGTCCAGTTTATCTTATTTGTAACCAAGAGATTCTGGTAAATATATCTATAGAGAGAGATCTACATGCAAAAGTATAATAGGACTGACCTGAAATGAAGCTCCACAGGTAGAGTCCTAATGGACCATGTAACGTTCCATAAGGAGTGCCAAAGGCATTGTACATGAAGAAGCCTGTTGCAATCAGTGCGAACGCGAACAGCACCAAGCAAAAGACAATGACACTTACATGGATACTTGCAGGCATAATTTTGAATAAATCTGGAAAAACTAACAAAGCAGAGAAAGTATTTATTTATTTATTTACAAAATCTAGAAAAACAAAGCAGAAAAAAAATTTATTCAGTTATTTAACTATCACTTTGTACGTTGCCTCAATCACTGGGGCAACTCTAAGTGGCTGGAATAGGGAACTACTGCCAACATTAAAGAAATCTTGATCAATGGGGCAGGAATTTTTTGTAACTTATTTATGATTGAGGATTGAAATTAAATAGAAGTATAGATAAAACAAAGAATTATATGAAAATAGTAAAACTGATACAGTGGAGGACATGTTGTAAGCATTTATATTTTAATATATATCCATTTTCTGAGAAGTGAAATATGGTTGGGCTTTGCAACTTAGATGTAGATTGGCATCATTTATCTTTGTTTTGTTTCCCCACTGGAGTAAAGCTCACATATTTAAACCTGATTGAAGCACATCAATCAGTATTCATGTGCATTTCCTAACCTGGTGCCCTCCAGAAGGGCTAGACGTCAGTCCGAAGAATTCTTAACCAGCACAGCCATACATGGACAACATAATTTTTTCCAGGTTACTCTCCATTATTTAGTAAATCTCAAAGTGAATCAAACTGAAAATGGGCAGCCTCTGCTGTGCTAGAAGCAATTTCAACATGCAGTCCAGAAAAACATGCTGTTTCTTGTTAGTGATTTGGAGATAGTTCTCTGAATAAGTTCCCTCTGTCTTTAATGTCACCACGGAGCATTTACAGTACTTGTTCTCTTCCGTCCTTATTCTCAATTTGCAGATACCTACAGAAAAAAGGAGCTCCTTTCTCTGAGGCCACTTACTAATTGATCATTCTCCATGGAAAATAAAGGGGAAGTGGCATGAAGATGTCAGAAGCACCAGGCCAAGTGCTTGTGGTGACTTTGCACATGGCAACTAGCTGCCATAACCCTGCACTTATCTATGCCCAGGTTTCCACGTGCAATTTCATTCATGGGGGAGATCCCACAGAGAAAAGAAACCATCAAATTATACAGATGTATGCAGCTGTATAAAATGTATAAACCAGACCAATGATGATCCTTCTTCCAAAGTTTTGCTTGTTCAACATCACAAAAGATATAAGCCCTTTTTCAATGATGGCTTGAAGCAGGCAACGAGTAACTAGAGTAAATGGATTGTAGGCAACAGGGAATATCTAGAAAACAGGATGACTTCTGTTAGCAACAAATCACCCACTTAACAATGTGTCTAAAGCTTTTATTATTTACTTGACCTCATTTATTCACTGGATTTTCTAGGATCTATGGAAATCCAGTGCTAACTCTCCTGTGTTTTTCCCCAATTCTTTCTTCATTTTTCATTCCACACAAAAAAGTCATTAAGGAGGGAAAGATAGAATGGCCAGGTTTCCACTTTATAGTAAACCATAATGTGCTTTGATTTTAGCTTAGGACAGAGTAAATCCAGCCACAGTATTTGTAAACCATGATTTGTGACTTAAATAGTATTAAGTCACAAATCATGGTTTACAAATACTGTGACTGGATAACTATGCTATTATGCTTATTCCACAAACCATGGCTGAAATTCACCAGGCTATTATGGCTTATTGCACAAACCATGGCTGAAATTAACTAGGCTATTATGGCTTATTGCACAAACCATGACTGAAATAAATTATGGCATAGGATGACTAATTTCTGCTGGCAGCACCTTAAAAAGGCAGAAGATATTGAAGCAACATAGTAGGAGGCAGTATTTTTCTGAGGACACTTAGCATCCACCTCATCAGAATGAGTATAGTTTAATTTCCAAATGTTTTACATATAGGATGCATTTCACAGATGGTGATTTTTTGTTTGTGAATCATGTCCTGTTCAGCTTTATTAAATATATGATCATAGACAGTAAGCAAACGCACTATTTATCTAAAATATTTATATATTGTCATACAAAGCCTCTAAAGGCAGTGTACAAATTGATAACTACTTAGGCAGAATAGTTTGTGGGTTAATCTTTCTACTGATTTTTAAATACTTCTGCTGAGTTAGCCACAATAGATATTTTAGAATGATTTGTAGAATACAAGATAACTGCTCCTAGTCCACAGGGGTATGATTAAGCTGGTGTTAATAACTCCTTAGAACTGCTTGGCTGTGGTTAAAACATGCTGAGAAAAAGCAATGTAGGCACTGCAAATAAATTTATGTAGCAGGTATAATATAAATTATAAGCAACTCCATTTGAACTCTCTAATTCAGTCAACTGGGTCAAGATTCATGCACATTATCTTAATACTATAATTCTCTGTTGGAGTGGTGGTGGAGTACACTGTGTTGCTGGGTTTCGAATGCAGATTTCTAGAATATTCACTTTCTTTGAAATGAGGTTCTAGTCTTCAATGTTGCAAATCAGATCATTGCCCAGGAGTGGGATTTAATTACTTTTTCATTTACAAGGACAATTCAATGTCCTGCCTTGATTTTAATCTCTAAAATCTGTGTCATTTTGGATCCAGATATCAGAAGGACAATGTCTTCCTGGACAAGCCTGCCTAAACATGTCAGAGTATTATCAGAGCGGTCTCCAAGCTTCTGCCCTTCCTGAGGCAAGACAGGTGCTAAGTGAAGAAACAGTCTTTTCAGATATGCTTTTTCCCCAAAAAGATTTGTGTGACACTATTTTCTTTCTTTTTCACGCAATCTCTTGTTCTGAATCTGTTCTGAAAATTGTTTCTGTTGCTCTTTTTTACTGTTTGATTTGTAAGTCTCTGGGAGAATTTTTTTTTAAACTGAAGGGCAACAAATTCTTTAAATAAATATTTCCCTCCTTTTACAACATGAAAAAAATGCTAAGAAAATTGTGAATTAATTTTACTTGCAGAACAGTAATAACATGCCAAGTGAATAAGGCAGGTGCTATCCTACTACTTCTGCATTCAATAGCTGATCAAGGTAAGCAGACGATGATCTGTCACATTCTACTTTATTTTGGAATAAGTCCCACTGAACTTAGCAATGAGCTCAGTGTAGCACAATGCATGCAGAATGCACACAACAGAATCACTTAGTTCAGTGTTGTCCAAACTTGGCCACTTTAAGAGGAGTGGACTTCAACTCCCAGAATTCCCCAGCCAGCATGGCT